GTCGCCATCCCCTTGCCCTTTATCAACCGCCGCCTTTTCTCTCTAGCGGCTCCTCACCTTCGAAAGTCTCCTCTGTAAGCCGCAGGGACGACACTAAAGGAGTCGTTTTACTTGCAGACGCCGCCATAGGCGCAGCCTCCTGCTGAGGAACCTCAGGAGCGCCATTGCCGAACGAGCCGCAGGGTATATCTTCGCCATCAGAGTCGGTCTCCGCCCTAGGCGACGCAACAACGGCCTTCTTCTTCTTGGGGGCGCTCCGACCTGCCAACACGAGTAAGTTAGGTAACAGAATCTAAGGGAGTTTCCAAACCAAGGCCGAAGAATTACCTGACGGGCCATACTGTTGAAGAAATGCAGCCCAGGTACGACATTCCTCCACATAAGGTATTATTCTTTCCACCCATGATTTAGTATCATCAATAAACTGGGGTGGAGAAGCCCTCGCTACAAAAAAAAGAGAAAAGAATGAAATCGCAGTGGCCAAATGGTCAAGGTCACGAACAGTCATGAATCCTGCAAATAAAGGCACTCACGATCTGGGTTCCACCTTTCCGAGAATCCTTCAGGCTTAGACACCAGGTGCTCCGTCAAGATATAGAAGTACCTGCGCTAGAAGAGGCGGTTGGCCTTGTCGTCAGCCCTAACTACCAAACCCTTCGTACCATGGCTTTTCAGTTGCAACATGGTACCCCTCAGGTAACCAGGGCTGAATAACTGTAAGAGATGGTGAACTGAGATACCGCACTCAGCCTTAGCCGCGTACGTGGTCAGAATCCTGCACACCTTCAAGGTGTAAGGATTAAGCTGGGCCGGGCACACATTGTAAAAGCGGCAAAGCTCCACTACTAAAGGGAAGATCGAAAGACTATAACCGATCAAAAACGGGTATTCATAAAATGTGCAGTACCCAGGCTTGTGCACATTGGCGTAATCCATCCCAGCCGGAGCCATTTCCACATGGTCCGGAATGTTGTGTGTCATTCGAAGGTCGTCTAGATGAGATTGCAGTAAATCGCTAGGCTCCCAGGGAAGGGCTGGACTTTTCGTTTGAAAGTACCTTCGAATATGCATGTCCTTTGGGAGGACGTTGTCTACAGAAAGGGGAACGAGGGTCTTTTTTGCCTCCTCCCCCTCACCGCCAGAGGAAGGCGGAACCCTAGATGGGTCAGTGTCCTTGGTCTTTTTATCACCTTGACTACGTTTACCATGATGACTCTGTTTGGGAAATAATGCACTAGCGACGAGAAATATGACTTCAAAGGAAGTGGAGGAATCCCACACGAAATAACGGTTACAGGAAAGGAAGACGAAGGAGTAAATCAGAAAATGCTTTCCAAAAGTTTGAAAGTTGAATCGAATCAAACCTCTCTCCTATTTTTAGGGATAAGTTGCGCAGAAATCGAAGAGTCATGATTCAAAACGTGCGCGGGAAACCAAAACGTCACATCATCCTTTGAACCGCCTCGAGGGCAAATATAATAATGACGCTTACAGGCTATGACGTCATTCCAAAAAGAAAGCCACGCGTCAGTGGCTCAACAACGCCATACATTTTACCACAGTCATGTTGCCGCCCCTGGTCGAGGTCAAATTCTCCTAAGCCGAGGTTTGCATTTTTGCCCATTGAAGACGCCCACCAAATGCATCTCCAACGAGCGGAGGGAGTAACTGTATAGGGTCAAATTTGACCGTCAGCGTCTCTACGCTAATGGGTACGCCCGGTGAATATACGCCAACTAACGTAAGGGTACGACTCGGACGTGGGGACAAAAGCGACATCGTTTAGGACTCAGTATCTTCACTAGGAAAACGTTACCATTTTTGTAATTTTTTTTATTATTTCGAGGAAGGTCTCTTATTATATAAGGGAGACCTTCACATTGTAAAGAGGAGAAAGGTCTCTCATTTTCTCATACTCTCTCTCTATCACTATCTCTAACGAATACTTTCTCTGGAGTTCATATTATCACTATTAGATCTACAACAACAACTTCATTTTTGATCTCTAGGTCTATTATATTTGATTACGATTCACCCTTCCTTACTTTTGATTGTTTTTAAGCTTACAATCTCCTTGATCCTCTCAACGAGGCCAGTGACGAGGGCATCTTGAATGCAACCCCTAGCATCACGCCAGGTGCAGAGATCTCATCTTCCCCATCCGAAGATCTAACGATCTTGCATGAAAAAGGAGCTTCCACATCTGCGGCTAAGGAAGCACCCGCGGTGGTCAAGAAGCTACTGGAAGAATGGCTAACAAGCACTCTAAGTGGCTTGGTTGAGAAGTCACCGCAAAGTAACAACAGGTGTATACCAACGGTAGGTACCACTGCTGCCATGGGTGAACCTGAAGCTGCACGAGCAAATAACAAACCCATCGAGGCACAGACCAACGATGGCACGCTAACAGCCATCCTAAAGAAGATGGAAGAAATGGAGAATGAAAACAAGGCACTCCGCGACCAAATGAAAGAACATNCCGTACTGTTGAAGAAATGCAGCCCAGGTACGGCATTCCTCCGCATAAGGTATTATTCTTTCCACCCATGATTTAATATCATCAATAAACTGGGGTGGAGAAGCCCTCGCTACAAAAAAAAGAGAAAAGAATGAAATCACAGTGGACAAATGGTCAAGGTCACGAACAGTCATGAATCCTGCAAATAAAGGCACTCACGATCTGGGTTCCACCTTTCCGGGAATCCTTCAGGATTAGACACCAGGTGCTCCGTCTTGATATAGAAGTACCTGCGCCAGAAGAGGCGGTTGACCTTGTCGTCAGCCCTAACTACCAAACCCTTCGTACCACGGCTTTTCAGTTGCAACATGGTACCCCTCAGGTAACGGGGGCTGAATAACTGTAAGAGATGGTGAACCGAGACGCCGCACTCAGCCTCAGCCGCGTACGTGGTCAGAATCCTGCACACCTTCAAGGTGTAAGGAGTAAGCTGGGCCGGGCACACATTGTAAATGCGGCAAAGCTCCTCTGCTAGAGGGAAGATCGGAAGACTATAGCCGATCAAAAACGGGTACTCATAAAATGTGCAGTACCCAGGCCTGTGCACATTGGCGTAATCCATCCCAGCCGGAGCCATTTCCACATGGTCCGGAATGTTGTGTGTCACTCGAAGGCTGTCTAGATGAGATTGCAATAAATCGCTACGCTCCCAGGGAAGGGCTGGACTTTTCGTTTGAAAGTCCCTTCGAATATGCATGTCCTTTGGGAGGACGTTGTCTATAGAAAGGGGAACGAGGGTCTTTTTTGCCTCCTCCCCCTCACCGCCAGAGGAAGGCGGAACCCTAGATGGGTCAGTGTCCTTGATCTTTTTACCACCTTGACTACGTTTTACCATGATCACTCTGTTTGGGAAATAATGCACTAGCGACGAGAAATATGACTTCAAAGGAAGTGGAGGAATCCCACACGAAATAACGGTTACAGGAAAGGAAGACGAAGGAGTAAATCAGAAAATGCTTTCCAAAAGTTTGAAAGTTGAATCGAATCGAACCTCTCTCCTATTTATAGGGATAAGTTGCGCAGAAATCGAAGAGTCATGATTCAAAACATGCGCGGGAAACCAAAACGTCACATCATCCTCTGAACCGCCTCGGGGGCAAATATAATAATGACGCATACAGGCTATGACGTCATTCCAAAAAGAAAGCCACGCGTCAGTGGCTCAACAACGTCATACATTTTACCACAGTCATGTTGCCGCCCCTGGTCGAGGTCAAATTTTCCTAAGCCGAGGTGCATTTCCGCCCATTGAAGACGCCCACCAAATGCATCTCCAACGAGCGGAGGGACTAACTGTATAGGATCAAATTTGACCGTCAGCGTCTCTACGCCAATGGGTACGCCCAGTGAGTATACGCCAACTAACGTAAGGGTACGACTCGGACGTGGGGACAAAAGCGACATCGTTTAGGACTCAGTATCTTCACTAGGAAAACGTTACCTATTTTTGTAATTTTTTTTATTATTTCGAGGAAGGTCTCTTATTATATAAGGGAGGCCTTCACATTGTAAAGAGGGGGACTCTGGAATAATACAACTCTCTCATTTTCTCATACTCTCTATTATTATCTCTAACGAATACTTCCTCTTGAGTTCATACTATCACTATTAGATCTACAACAACAACTTCATTTTTCATCTCTAGGTCTATTATATTTGATTACGATTTACCCTTTCTTACTTTTGATTGTTTTTAAGCTTGCAAAGTATATCGATAACTTTTGAGCCAAACAGTAGTATGGCAAAGCTAGCTCATAAGTAGCAAATATCACATCATTGTTCAAAAATTGACTTAGTTCTGAAATGTCACATTCACAGCACGTAAAATAATCATGCAAAGTCATGTACCCTTCCTAAATCCAACTTCAAAATGAAACTTCCCAAGCCATGCTTTTATGGATATAAGAGGATTGTAGAAAAAAATCAAAATGAGTAAAAGGTAAGGGCATCGATCATGGATTGAGAGGCAAAAGGCAGCATGTTTTCAATCACTATAAAAATCATTATGCTATAACTTTCCGATAACGAAACAATGTATGAATATTTCAGCCTGAAGTTCATCAGGTAAACTCACTTAACCAATACTACTTAAAGAAATAAATTTCTTTTAACCATATTTAAACTTTATTTATTGTTCTTCCTAGATTCAGACGATACTAATAAACAAGTCATCATATGACGATTCAATTTAATGATTCACAGAAACTACTACCTTATTCTTTCTTGTATAAAATTTCTTACACAAAGCTCTATTTTAATAATATTAATTTTATTTTATAAAATAATATATTACATGTAACTTAATATACACGTGCGTTGCACGTGCCGAGTAACTAGTTCAATATATACGCCTTAACCAACAAGTTGTAAATTCATTTTTTACATGGTTAAAATTAGTTTTGCTGGTTTTGTTTTATATCTGTAAAATAGATTAACTAAATGGAAGAAAATGAGTATTTTCAAAAACAAGGATTAACAATTCAGAAGAACAAACTGCTGTCCGAAAGGGACAAACAACCTAGGACCGTCCTTTAAACTTCCCTCCTTCGGGGCAGTGTTCATTCCCATTCCCTAGTACCCACAATTGAGTTCAAAAATGGCATTGTACCGCCGTCTTTCTCGAACTTCTCGTGTCCTCCGGCGGCACCCTCCCCCCTCTATCGCTGCCGTCTACTCTCCCCGCGATCAAACAAACCCTAGCCCAACTGCTCCTCATTCTCTGTTAATTAACCCCTTTCAATCTTCTTCTTCTGATCATTATATACCCAACTCCAATTTTGAGAAATCGTTGACATATTATTACTCTCCACATTCTTCAAGAATTGAACTTTCAGGGTACCGTCAAGTTCTTCACTTTTCAACCTTAGCTAATTCAGAAGAAGAGAAGAAGCATGAGCAACAAAAGCATTCTTGGATTGATACGTATTTGCCCCAAATAATTAGACCCTATGCTCATCTTGCCCGACTTGATAAGCCCATTGGCACTTGGTTACTCGCTTGGCCCTGCATGTGGTAACTCCAATTTCCTCCCCCTCTATTTTAATTACTCTATATCCTTGTGCTTGTGTGTTTGTTATCATTCTTAACTTTTAAGGGTTTATGTGTAGGTCGATTGCTTTGGCTGCTACGCCAGGGAGCCTTCCTGATGTGAAAATGATGACACTATTTGGTTGCGGGGCTTTGCTTTTGCGAGGTGCTGGTTGTACAGTGAACGATCTTCTTGATCGAGACATTGACACTAAGGTGATTGGGGTTTTCCCTTTTAGCACTAGTAGGATTTTGTATAGTTCGTTAAGTCGAATTACACTTACATATTCCCAAAGAAAAAAATTATTTATTGCTCATTTTTATTTGGATTATTGATATGGTAACTCCAAGTAGTGGTTTAGAATAATTTGTTAGTTCCATTAAAAAGGGAAAATCATCAGCTCAACACTTGATAAGATGATGTGCTCTTTTTCTCAGTCCTCTAAAATAATAGTGAGGGGGAACAAAAAGAGAATCAATTTTCTGACTTGATATCTAGAATGCTTCTGCTACTTTAGGATGAGGATGTTGGATATTGTATGAAGGTGATGCTGCCTGCTACTTCCTTCTCCGTTGTCTTGGTTGCTAGGTGAGAGATAGGGGGAATTAATGGGAAGAAAAAATAGGTGTTACTCTTTCCCTTGATATTATGGTGTTTCATTGCAGGGTGGGGGCTGCTATAATTAGTTCCTTTACTGCTCCAGTTGGGTAGCAATGTGATAGTTTAACCATCGAATTTTGAAGATGATACCTTACGTCTGTTTTATTTTTCTCTCTCTTGTTCTCATACGTAATCATTTCTAGTTCCTTTTAGTATCATCTATGAGTCCATAGTTAAAAAGTCATTGAGACTGAAGTTGATCGGAGTACCTTGTATTGGTTTCTTCCCTGATTCCTCCTCCTATCATCACCAATATAATCCTTTCTTGTACCATCCTTCTAAAAGCTGGTTGACTTTGGCCTTTTGCTTATAACATCAGTTTTTTCTTCTGCTTTTAGTACATTTGCGAGCTTTCATGCAGTGCAGGTGGAAAGAACAAGGTCGAGGCCAGTCGCGAGTGGTGTATTGACACCCTTTCAAGGGCTCTGTTTCCTTGGGTTCCAGTTGCTATTAGGTCTTGGGATTCTTTTGCAATTAAATAATTTTAGGTTTGTGTCTTTTTTTCTTCACATGATTCTGTTCTTTCTCAGGTTTTCCTTTGCACGGAAAGCATTTTGTTTAATCTGTTTGAGAGTGTTTTAATTAATTGGTTCATTCTAGCTGATTAACTGAACGCCGGGGTGGCTCACTAAGTTTGGTGGCCTAAAGCCAAACTTTAATGGAAGGCTTATTTTTTTTTATATATATTTATATTTGAAGTAGATTTTTCTAGCTTTTTGAGAAAAATTTTTTTAATAATTTTTTGCATAAACCATTTAATCTCTCCTGTGACACTATTGATCTTAGGTAATAGAACCTGATTCAAGAAATTGATAACTTTATATTAAAATAATTTTTGATGTTTCAATATACTTGATGCAATGATGAAAATTTGAGAAAAAACAAAAAAGAAAAGTTTAAAAGTGTATTACTCATTTTCTAATGATCAATGTAAGCTTATATATATATATATATATATATATATATATATATACAACATTTAACTTTTCTACTTTGAAATACTTATATTTTCTTAAAAAGATTTGGGTTCTCGCCAGTAGAGTTGTGGTGGAATGGATAGAATCTCTCTTCTTTAACCGGAGGTATTTGGTTGGAGTATTTGGAGTGAATTTTTTTTTTCTAAGGAGCGGTCCCCACTTTATTGGATTTTACATGGTACGAATTCTGATTAATCAATGCCCCAAATTAACTGCCAGACATCAAGTACAAATTGGAAAGAAAATTGGGGCCCCGAAATTCTGGGGCCTAAAGCCGACCACCTCTGACTGAACCCAGTCAATGGCTATCTGTTCTCATAGAAGAGTTTTATATGATCTGCTTTCGTCTCATGGTTTATATTTTATAGAGAAGTCAGTGAAATTTTCTTCATATGTTTGAAGTCAGCTTAAATATTTTCATCTTGCCATTGCTGAAGTCTGCAAGAGCTGTGCTTTTTTTGGCCAAAAAACAGGACTCTGAAACTGAATGATCCTGATCTTGTCAAAACACAAAAAAGTTTATATGATAGCATGATACTTTGCGATTCTGATGAATGCTTTGTTGCTGGATGTCCATTTCTTTAATCACCCTATGGATATTGTTGAGTAAGTGAAAAATGCTTATTAAAACTTTAGAGCATTACGCAATATAAATTTGTTGAGTCTGATGATGTGGAAACCAGTGCATCTATTGAAAAGATCTTAAACTATTTATGACAAAATGTAATGAACACATAGGTTTGCCATTCTCTTCTTTTTTCCTCTTTCTCACATCAGGCAACATTTCCAAGACCTCTCCCCCAACCAAAAAATTTCAGTTCCGGGGCTTTACTTAATTCAATTAATAAGAATAATATCACAGTTTTCCTTTGGTAAAATCTAGGTATGGAATGTGTAGTAATTCTTGCAAGTTGCAGACATTTGGGACTAAAGACAGCATTTGTCGGAGTCCCCTTTTGAATTGTATATGGTTTGTCCCATATTCTGCTAAAATAATCACTTCCGGTTTATTTTCTAATTTGCCACGATTTGGAGAACTAGGTATTTATGTGTATCTTTAATCTCTTTCTTGCATTTCGATGCAGAAAGCATTTCTTGCTTTATGTGACGTTGCTAATGATTCATCTCTCTTGCTGCAGCCGCATTTTGGGTGCTTCATCCCTGTTGTTGGTCTTCTCATACCCCCTCATGAAGAGGGTGACATTTTGGGTAATGTATCCTAATGTTCGCGTTGCTTCTCTCAAATCAGTATATCTGTACCGTCTCCCTCACTCTCACTGTCCCCAACCCCAACCCCAACCCCAAAGGAATTTCTCTTCTCAGCTCCTGTGGATCTTTCCCCACAGTTTGGTCAGAATGGGTGATGTCTATATCTGTTGGTGCAGCCTCAAGCCTATCTTGGTCTAACTTTCAACTGGGGAGCGTTGTTAGGTTGGGCTGCTATTAAAGGAAGTATTGATCCTGCAGTTGTGCTTCCACTGTATGCCTCTGGGGTGTTTTGGACGCTCGTGTATGACACAATATATGCACATCAGGTACATATTAATCATTTGAAATATGATTGCATTATATACTAAATTGAGTTTGAAACGTTTGACAGAAGACAATTTCACATAAATATAACATATCAAAAACGTTTTACTTCAGTATATTGCCGTTGCACCTTAGAGACTTGGTCTCCTGTACATGCATACTATTGCCCCATGCTCGAGTATATCCTGGTTAAGGACTTCCTGTAACCCTATCCAGAAAGATTCAGTTTCCTGTCACAAGCTCGCAACTATACCCTTGCTATCTCACATCATGTCTTTTTCAGATTGCTCACCCACTTGATAGATTTTAACAGTCAAATTGTGACCCTATTTCTGCATGTTATTAGCATCTATCTGTGACTGTAAGGCAGCTTCAATCATGTAATTTGGGTGTTAGATGCAGAGAAAACAGATGCAGAGAGATTGGGGTTTCATCTATATATATATATATGCGCGTGTGTGTGCGCGCGCGTGCGCGCGCACGTGTGAGTGTGAATGTGCATCTATGAAAGAGAGGGAGGGAGAGATTTAGTTCCCATAAGTCCCATTTGCTTCTCTTTAGTTGTTTTCTTTTTGGAGGATTATATTTTTTGGGTTCAACTGATTAGTATTGGATCATATAGGATTTTTTTTGAGAAGGTAAAATAAGGATCATATTGGAAAATTCTGGATTAACAAAATTCTCCCTCGATTCCATCTTATATGGCGGCGTTTTAATTGGAAATGGAGTTTAAGATATTACTTGACATGTGTATTATAATTTATACTGATAGTGCAAGCCTGCAAGGAATTTGATGTAATACTTAAAAAGGTAGTATGATGGAGAAATATATCGACTAAGTGTGGATTATGAATAGTTAAATGAATTTAAAAGTGTTAATGTGGTATAGAGTAATGTTACTAATGGAGATTGGTTGTCTTTTGCAGAAATCGTATTCTTTTTGATATACTACTTATATATGGGAGTTTGTTTTTCCCAAATCAATAAAATTGTTGCTTAATTGAAAAATAATGTTACTAACAGGATGGTATCAAACATTTTATGGCATTTCAAATGGAAAATTGTCTGATAAATTGGAATTGGGGGAGCTGCTGCCTGCTGCATCCTAGTTTGAATCTTCTTTAAGTAATGTTATCTGGGAAAAAGGCTATTGGTATCAGACTACATTTTATATTTGCTGGAAGATCTTATGCCTGCTCTATGTATTAGGTAATATTGACATGAAAACCTGCCTTTGCCAATAAAAAAATTGGCTTCCAGAAATGTCTAAATGAAAAAAAGGACCCACGTTAATTAGGCTTTTTAGGCTTTCAGGTTCGTAGTATCATAATTGCCTTGTGCTACAATTGAAGGCCTCATAGCATCTGGCATATATGTGTCTTAATGTTTATTTATATAGCAGATGCACCAATCCAGATTTGTGTTCCCCATTAAACTAGTCTGAGACACTTAGATGTTTTCAAATTTATGTGAAACCAGCTCTTGTCAATATGTTGGTGAATGTTCATTCAGGATAAAGAAGACGATCTCAAAGTGGGTGTCAAGTCTACAGCCTTGAGATTTGGAGATTCCACAAAAGAATGGATCAGTGTTTTTGGATTAGCATGCATCAGCAGTCTTGCTCTTTCTGGAGTTAATGCTGATATTGGTATGTATTTTCCTTCTCTAATTCTTTTGCTCCAATCAGTTTGTGACAATCATTTTTCCTTGTTACTTATTTCCCATATTTTGTTTTAGATTAATTTATTTTTCTCTTTTTTGTTTGAACAGGATGGCCATACTATGCATTTCTGACAGCTGCTTCTGGCCAGTTGGCTTGGCAAATTTGGACCGTTGACCTATCATCTCGTGCAGATTGCAACAGAAAGTGTGTATAGAATAGTAATTAGAGACATGCTTACATTTTGGTTACTGTGAATATATGGTCAACTGGTTTACTTCTATTTGTCTGCTGCCTTGGACATGAAAGTATCAAAAGCAATTCATCCTTAGAAATACAGTATTATAGCACCCAAAGCAGTTCAATATATCTATGAATTTATTCATGTCACTGATAATTTTTGGTCTTCTAGATTCTTACTTTTTGAGTATATCGTACTTTGTATGTAGATTTGTGTCCAACAAATGGTTTGGTGCTTTTGTCTTTGGCGGGGTTCTATTTGGAAGACTATTGTGACTGTGGTAGGTGATCACAATGCTCTTTGCTTCTCTAACCTTTTGTCATTGTGGTTTTAAATACCATAATTGGGTAGTATTCAAAGTTATATGCTAAGTCATTTGTTGATAATTCTTATGCAGATAAAGAACAAAGCTTACTGTACAACTAGAGATGGTAAGTGTTACATATACACTGTCCATTCTATGAAACTTTTGTTTACATGTACCTATTAAATGATCTTGTTAATTCTTGTAACTTTGGGGTAGACTTTGCACTTAATAGATAGGGTGTTTTAGCCTTATGGAAGGCACACTTGAAAAAAGTAATACTTCTACATCTATCTATTCTTGTTATGTCTCAATAGCAATAATCTTGTGGCTTTATTTTATAATTAATAATAATTGTAGCTATATTTCATAGAACGTTCTTTGCACAAATCTTTAAGTTTATTTCAATAATCTCCTCAAACTTGAACTTAATCAAGTTAAATCTTGTAATTTTGGTTGTACATATACGTACTATAAATGGGTTGTTCTTAGCCTTATGAAAGGCACACTTGAAGTGAATAAAATACTTATACCTCTGTCTATTCTTGTTGTATCTCAATAGCAATAGTCTTGTAGCTTTATTTTATACTAGTAAGTTATATACTTGTATTTATTTTATTTTGATTACATTGGAGATTTTCACCTTTTGGATTGTATCAGGATAAAGTAGTGGAAATGATCACGTCATATTGTATTATAAGTAGCACATAAGGATAAAATGGATGGTCACATGGGATAATCTGGGCATGTGACACAATAATGATAGAAAGTGTTAGAAGAGGACAAGTTAGACGTATAATAACATGGAGAGAAGTGTTCTGGAAGACCTACAATCTCTTGGAATCTATAATTAAGAACATAACACAATTAAACTTAAAAGATACATAAAAGTGATGTCAACTAATTGTGATTAAGACTTAGTCGTGTTGCTTCTGTTATATTAGGTTTGATGGTTGCAAGGAGCGTTTTTTAGTTTGTTTGGAGGATTTGTAGGTCAGCAGAATATTGAAAGGACTTATAGTGTTTGAGAATCATTAATTTTGTCTTAAAAGATGAATTATTGGGTGTGGAATGGTGTAAATGGAGCATAATGTATTTAGAGGACCCATATAGCTGACCCAACTAGTCTGTGGTTCATACATAATAGTAGTAGCAGGAGTAGTTGGTGCTTAGTTGTAGTAGTTACTGTCGATTTGATATCAGGACATAAACCACAATAGTAGCAGTTGTTGTTACGTCGTAGTAATAGTTGTTGATTTGATATCAGAACATGGTGTGATCTTATCTCCTTGGAATAATGTAGCCCGCGTGTTGATTTTGTTTGGTTTAATCGCTGAATGCTTACTAACTTAGGAGTGTCTTCCAATCTCTGGAACAGCTTTTGCACAGAAAAGCATAAGAATTTTGCTCCTTTCCTTTTTGGACAAGTAGATCCAGTAATATTAATTAAAGCAATATAAAACTAACTGGATTCTTAGTCCTTGCTTATTGATGGGATATTTTATCTCTGTCAAAACAATATATATGTTGCATAGCTCAGATTAGCCAATGCTTGTACTTGGCTCATTCTGTTTGTTTGCCTTTGTAATTAGTCTCAATACCTATCCATATTTGTAATGCATTCTCTTGCTAGAAATTCCAAGAACACGAGCTCCCTCCACACCCTACCCACCCGGGGTTTGGGGGGGGGGGGGGATAGGATTAAAGCAAGTTTCTTTCTTGTAAACGTTTACTTGTTTTACATTAATGTGGTGGGTTGTCAAACCATAAGTCGCAAAGGCTAGAGCTTCCTAGTAAATTGCATTTCTTCACACTTGATGCCATGTGTGCTTTAGCATCACTCTTCTCTCCTTCCATTGCTCACTTCGAAGACTCTAAAAATCTAGTTCAAGTATCCTTTGACCAGGTTGTGTCGTGGGAGCTCGATTTTGGAGCGTGCAACGAATCTCCAGCTGGGTGCCCAAATATTTATTTCTTTCCTCGTCCGGAGTTGCATTTGGGTTTACAAGAAACATCTGCAGGATTTGTCACTGATTATTTTGCAGATTTTCTGACAGCCATTTGTTTGGAGATACGGCAATAAAGTTTCCCCCTAGGGTTGCAGCCATATAGCATCTCTGTTTTTCCTTCCCCTTTATAGTTTATTCTGTACTTCCTAGCCATCATGATAGGTATATGGGAAAGGTAATAGATGCTAGCTCTCTTTGGAAGTTCAAAGCTGTATCACCTAGGTCAGAGAAATCTCTAAATACAGTAATGTCAACTTGTATTTGTTGGCCAATTGAGTTCCATTTTCAATCAGGGTATTTGATTGCGTAAATGTTACATTGAAGACATGCTCTTTATTTTTATTTTTCTCCCTAAAGACAGAGACTTTCTTTTTAATGTAATCATTAAATAGTTTTGGCTGCTTTTCGAGGACCTTGAGCTTTAAATTATGCTAGCTTAGACATGCTTATTTTATACATATTGTATATGTGCATCCAAATATAAGTACGTTGTGGAAATGTCAACAATTCCCCCCCCCCCCAGTTTACAATGTATGAAATCTTGTATACCTGTTTTGGCGGGTTATTTTCGTCCAAAGTTGATGTTATCTATTGGCTCTTGGTTTAGATGGTTTAGAAATGGGTTAATCTGTATAGTTACTACTGTTATAGGCTGTAATGGATGCCATATAACTATTATATGTGTAAACCTTAATCAAATCACATGTGCTGGTCAGTTTAATCTCGTACATTTGTTTGTTCTCTACGAGAATTCTGGTTTGTTGTCAAAAGGTGAAGAAAAAACTCATTATTCCATTAAACTCGATTCAAGAACTCAGCTAATGAATTCTTTTTTTTCCTTCTCAAAAAAGAACTCGGTTAATGAATTTGCTGATACTTACCCATCATAGTAAAAATGGCGTGTAGTAGCCACTAATTAAGGGGGTCTTTAATTTTTATCCACTAGTTATAATGCTCAGCAAAAATAGCCACTATTAATAGGAAAAAGATAGTTTTACCCTTTCTTCAATGGTTATATTCCCGAACCCTTCTGCAAAAAGAAAGAAGCGATGGAGGTGAAATATATATCAAGCATGGTAAATGTGAAAAACCCTTCTGAATTTCGAGCTATAGTTCAACACCTCACTAGGAAAAGCCCTCCAAAATAGTCCAATTTTCATCAACAATATGCAAAGACAGAGAATTATCATAATGATGAAGTTGCAGCCAAATTAGCTCGTGGTCAAAGTTCAAAAGGATTTTCTGGATTTCTGTTTCCCTATTAATATATAGTGTAGTAGTTGAGCTTTTCTTTGGCTTTGTTGCTTCAGTCACTGGGTATCACTGGGTAAGTAAGCCTTACATTGTACTAACACTAACAAAAGTATTTATGAATGACATCATCCTCAATACTTATTTGCTAAATTCTGTATGTTAAAATTTTTGAGCAGATGTCTGAGTTTTCAAAATTTCTTTCTTCTTACCTTGTTTTTGTTTTTTTTGAGTTCAAAGATTAAAAGTTAAGGACATGAGTCCTTATGTTTGACATGCAGGTTCAAAAGTTAAGGATGAGCAGTCCTTAACTTATAGTTTCAAGTTCAAAACTTAAGGACTCCTGTCCTTAACTTTGGATTACACGTTCAAAAGTTAAGGACAGGCAATCCTTAACTTTGAGTTCAAAGTTCAAAACTTAAGGACTGTCTGTCCTCAACTTTACAAAAGTTAAGGACAGGAGTCCTTAAGTTTGACATGCAGGTTCAAAAGATAAGGACAGACAGTCCTTAACTTATAGTTTCAAGTTCAAAACTTAAGGACANGATGTCTGAGTTTTCAAAATTTCTTTCTTCTTACCTTGTTTTTGTTTTTTTTGAGTTCAAAGATTAAAAGTTAAGGACATGAGTCCTTAACTTTGAGTTTCAAGTTCAAAAGTTAAGGACAGGAGTCCTTAAGTTTGACTTGCAGGCTAAAAAGTTATGGAAAGACAGTCCTTAAGTTGGAATAATACGTTCAAAAGTTAAGGACAGACAGTCCTTAACTTTGAGTTCAAAGTTCAAACGTTAAGAACAGGAGTCCTTAAGTTTGAAATACAGGTTCAAAAGTTAAAGACAGGCAGTCCTTAAGTTTGAATTACACGTTCAAAAGTTCAGGACAGGGAGTCCTTAACTTTGTGTTTAAAGTTACCTCATTTTAACAACCTCCTCCTCAGAGGCTCAAATAAATTGTACGTAGTATATATTACTTCGAGTCCTCACAATCTTTAAATCTTCAGAGCGCGCTAGTTACACATCCTTCTCCGACATACTTACCCACTAAACTACCATGACATCCATATCCGTGTCTACCAAAGACTAAAGATAGGTATAAGTTATAGCAGAAAGGTATTTTCGTCCAGTCAGGTATAAGTTTATTAAACCAGTGGCTAAAGACTAAAGACATTTAAAACACTGGCTTTAAAATAAAGACAAGTGCTGTTAGTGGCTATTTGTGCACATCGCCCCCCATCATAGGCCAATTGTTATGGAGGATTTGCATCTATACCCAGTTTTTGGGTCACAATTTAACTTATGCCCGCTTTGCAAAAAAAATTGTAAGCGTACCCACTTTTCGGGTAACTTCAAACATGTGGGGCCTGAAGTAGCAAGAATTTGCGAAAAAAATTGCAATCGTACCCATTTTTTTGCCTGAAGTGTGACCTTATCAAAGTAAACTTCAGATACTTTCGTCTGAAGTTTGGCCTAACCTGCAAAAGCAATCAAAAAAACTTCAATCAATAGTGCAAACTTCAGACAAGTTAGTCTGAAGTTCTTCAGTTTGTAGTGCAAACTTCAGACTAATTTGTAGTGCAAACTTCTGACAAAATTAGCTTGTTATATTTGAACTTCAGATAATTTTTCCTGGCATGATAGTTGCAAACTTCAGACGAAATTTAACCTGGTAATGTCTGAAGTTTGGCCTTGCAGTCTCAAACTTCAGTTGATGCTTCTTCGAGTTTTGAATAAAAACTCTTGTTATATTATTTACGTACTTTGTGTTGGGATGTATTAATATTTGAGAGGCAGTGGCGAGTCTTTCTTTCTTCTTGATTTGTCGCTTAGTCTAATTTCCAGAAACGATAACATGTGTAACTTACAGGATAACACGTTTGAGAGAGAAAAGAAGAAGTGGAAAAGAAGAGGAGGAAGAAAGGAGCACATATGTCGCAGGATCTGAAGTTGTCAAAATTAGGGTATATGTTAAATAATTTTAAAAATATGGGTATAAGTTAAATGGGGGCGACCAAATAGGGCTCTCCGTGCAATTTTTACAATTGTTATTGGGTCTCACTTATCCACACACACAATATTTAATATTAGGCCTTTTGTTTATCCAGCACTTGAGCCACGTCACTATTCTTTCAGGCTATAAACAATTAACGTAAGTCCAAATTCCAATAATTGCTGGGAGCTTGTTAAAGTGGCAAATAGGATTTTTGTGCAGGCGTTACCAAATCAGCCTATAATGGACCAGAGCTTGAAATGACCCAAACCGGGTTGTATGTTACTTGTCATAAAACAAATTCTAATCTTATCAGCGTGTCAACTTGTAGGGTAGGTTTTTGTCTTCTCTTTTAAGATAGCTAGCTGTATACGGTTTGTATGGTTTTGTACAGTTACACGGGTGATTAATACAAAAATGATTTGTTACCCGGAAAAAAAAAACCACTTACGTGTTGTAAAACTCTCTGTTAAATATAACTTAAGGAGCTAATATTAATCAATTAAAACGTATTATTTTATGGGTGTGTAAATTTAAATCTGGGAACCTAGGTTCAAGAATAAAAAAACAAATGTTTCCTGTATTGTTCAGTTTTAACAACAACAACAAAAAATCCTCCCTTGATCGTAAATCTTTACTAGGAATTTTAAAAGTAGAGCAATTTATGCAAAATACCTATTGGGCTTAAAATAATTATCCTTTCCTATCTAGGTTTAGCTTGGCTTGGTTTGTTTAGCTTGACTTGAATTAGCTTTGCTTGGCTTGATTTAGAGCCCGTTTGGATTGGCTTATTTTAAGTGCTTTTAAGCCAAAATAGCTTTTAAGCCGTTTTGTAGTGTTTGGATAAAGTAAAAAAATACTTTTAAGCACTTGTTTTTGTTAGCCCAAATACAGCTCAGGCCCAATTGTCACAGGCCCAATCAGCTAAGGGAAAGCAGAAGGCCCTTTTATAGTTTACATTTTCTTGTATTTTCATTTTTCAGATTTGACATTTTATTTTTGTCTCTTACACTTGTAAATATAAATAGAGACTTCTCAATAATAATATCAGTTTTGGTCAATTAAGCTTTGACTGACTCATTTCGTTCATCTTCTTCTCTCAACCCTTCTAGGGTTTTCTTCTGTTATTTTCCTCCATAGCCATCGAGCTTCGAACTCATTATCAGAGCAGGAATGTAGATTCCCCTCGTCGCAACCTTTCTTCCGACGGTAGCCTTGTTTGAAATCGTCAAGGACTGTATCAGATCGTCGATCTTCAGAATACGTTCGTGAAATTTGGGGTTTCGTTCAATCTTCGCATATTTTCGACTTTTATCGCGAGAATCGTTGATAATCTTCAAGTTACACGGTAGTTTCTGCTGGATTTCTCTACCTAGGGTTCATGGCTAAACAAGACCTCACTTCTTCGGGTTTTCAGAAGAAGGACGGTATCACTGTCACTCCTAATCACAAGTTTTGTTAATTTTGCTGTTAATGTTCATTGCATGTACCTAATTTGAGTTTATCTCTGATTACTTCAACATACCACTGTAGTTTCTTAGTGTTAGATTTAGTTACTGCTGAAAATGGGTACTATAGTAGACGATGTTAACTCTCCTTCACCTTCCAACGGTTTTGCTCCATTTTCCTTGGATCCTTCACATTCGTTCTATATTCATCCCTCGGATAATCCTGGAAGTCAACTAGTATCAGTTCCATTCAGTGGTTGAGGATTTGTGTTGTGGCGTAGCAGTATGCTCACTTCCCTTTCTGCAAAGAACAAACTCAGCCTATTAGATGGCAGAGTCAATCAACCCACTCCTGAATCTCCTTATTACCCATATTGAGAAAGGTGCAATGATATGGTCAAAGCCTGGATAACTAACTCAGTATCTAGAGAAATAGTTGTTAGTGTAATGTGTCTTAAAACTGCTAAGGAAGTCTGGAAAGATATTAATGAAAGGTTTGGCCAGTCAAACGGGTCTAAATACATCCAAATACAAAGGGAAATCAGCTCTACTACTCAAGGCTCCTCTGATATAGCTTCTTACTTCACCAAAATGAGGAGTTTGTGGGATGAGCTGAACTCTTCATATGTAGGTCCTACCTGTTCATGTGGTGCATTGCCCAAATTCATAGAGGACCAACAGTTGTTTCAGTTTCTCAATGGTCTAAATGAGTCCTACACAA